TAGCTGTTATTAGTAGCAGACCATAGAGGAATAGCACCAGCGGTACCCACAGCCGAAAAGCAAGTAACATGAGCACAGTTACCACCAACAACACCAGCAGTGGCAGCAGCAATCCTACAGGAACCACTAGCACAGCGGCAGCACCAGCAACCACCAATAACACAAGCAGCAACCTCTATACTCTTACACCCCTCAACCCTAACCCTCCCAACCCTGCAACCTAGCCTAAATCCCTCCACCCCTAAACCCTTAAGCCTAAGCGAGTAAACCTATAAACCCCTAAATCCCTAAGCCCCTGAAGCCCTAATGCCCTAAACCTCTTAGCCCTAAACCCGTGGCCCAGGTGTGTGGCGAGGCTGGTGCCGGTGCCTTGGTCCTGCGGTTGTTTGCTTCTTGGTTTTGGCCTTCTTAAGACAGGAGCACTCGCTCCTCCAACACTCTGTTAAGTCTTGCTTAGCAAGAGATAGGAGCATGTGCTCCTATGTACAATATAGCAAAACCCTGGAACCTAGAACCCTATCTTCTTAAATCCTCTACACCACAGAACTGGGAAGCTAAGACCCCAAATCCCGAACCCCACTGAGGCCCAAACCCAAACCCTAATCCCAAAGACCCGTCAGGATGTGCACATCACCCTTGTATCTTTCTCCTGAATCGTTGCGGTCCTGGCAGCTGTGTGCTGCTCCACATCGCCTAGATCCACCTTTGCTTTTGTTTGCCATGGCACCCAAGGGTAAGCCTGCTGCCGCCAAGGGCAAAGCCGCTGCCAAGGCAGCCGCCGAGGCCAAGGCTGCTGCTGCAGCGAAGAAGGGCCAGCAATCCAACATGGTCACTCAGCTCAAGCAGGCGAAGAAAAAGTTGGATCAGGCGATGATCACGGGCGAGGAGCTCGACCCCGACGTGAAGAAGTGCCTCGAGCACAAGGCCGCCTTCCTGTCCGAGTACAACAGCTTGGGCCTTTTTGACGGCAAGAAGCAACAGATGCTTGAGATGTGGAAGACGGACAAGAGCTTGAAGCAGTGGGCAGAGTCGAAGACAACCCACTCCTCGATGACGAGTGTCACCCAGGAGAAGCTGGAGAACTACGGGACCAAGCTGCTAGGTGTTTTCGTATGTGGTTATAGTTTTGAAAAGTTCTGGGAGGGCAAAGCTGTTGAGTCATGTGTGCCTGTTGCCGTGTAGCCCCGGTGCTTGCCTGCGTAATTTTGCTGTGTGGCTTGTACTTAATAACAGAGACCTCTGGAAAGAGATAGGAGCATTTGCTCCTCCGATATATATAGGAGCATCTGCTCCTGAAACAAGCAATCCAAGAACACTTGAACCTTTAAGCCCCTAGAACCTTTCATCCCAAACCCCTATCCCCATTGAACCCCAAACTCTGAAGCAAAAGACCCCTAAACCCGGAGATCCGAAATAAATTCCTTGATGTCATCAGCACTAAAACTAGAACCTGAATATTAAGCACTCGTGTGTCTATACACATCTGAGGTTCGATGTGGCCAAGCTCCTGAATTTGGATCCGGACTCGAAGGAGCAAAGCAAGATTTTGAATGCGGTCCTACAAGACCTACCTCAAGATGATGCATGGGACGAAAGCAACCCCATGGAAAAAACCTTCAAGCAGATGAACCTGGTTCGCTACACCTTCTCCAAGAACTTGGGTGTCTCTACCAAGCGTGGCAAGGAAGAAGTTGATTCTTTCGTTCACACAAGGGACGTTTGTGGCAGAAAGCTCAAGCAAATGCTCGAAGATGGCGGCTCCGGCGGCTCGGGCGGCTCGAGCGGGGACCCCCCAGCGGTCAAGCTGGAGCACGTGTGGATTCTGCCAGCCCAGGAGAAGCACAAAGAGATCGTGCTAGCTCTGAAGACAGTGAAGACTCTAGTGAATCATTTCAAGAGATTTAAAGCCGTGCAAGAAAAGTCTGGAGAGGATGCCCCGGCAAGTCTCACCAAGGGTTTCAGCATGTTAGAGGCGTTGGAAGCTGATCTGCTAAAGCTACAATTGGCAAACGTTTCGCAACTCGCTGAGGAAGAGTGCAAGGCATGGGTGTCTTCTGCAGTTGACCTACTTGCTCATTATGAGAATATCAAGAGGGTTGCAGAGCAGAGCAAAAAAGATCTTGCAAAAATGTTCCCAGAGTCGAAGGCGGCCTAGCGAAGCTAGCACGTCGATCGTTTTCAGATGCAGCCGACAAGTGCTAAGCCATGTTGTCGTTTTGGGTTGCATGCAACAGGTCATCATGATCATATGTTGCACCGCTGGATCTAGAGCACCGCCGCCGGCTGCACAAAAAGATGCGAGAGTGCATGCTTGCGAAGGTTTTTAGCAAGTGCATCAAATGTGCTTGCATGCAGCAGCTTTTGCATCGATCATTGCGACGGATCGATACAATGCAACTTGTACCCTCTATGGGTTTGGCAGAATTAGGACAGTACTGAGTGAAATAAGACTAAGCCGATATAGAATGAGATTCTAACACAAGTTTTAATCTGGGCCTAGCAAATTATTGTTTCCTTCGATTCTAGCCTCAGCTTTCGATCGAGAAGCGACAGCTATATAGGTGCTTAAGCACCTATGTGCAGACATATCTACAGCACACAGATATAGTTTACATATATAGATCGACATGCGTTAGATCGATAGTATACGTATACATCTATATATATATATACACACATACATACATGTACTTACACATGCATGCATACATATAAACATAACAAGACATACACAGGGGCAGTGCAGCCCCTCTTCAGCAAAGATGGTTTTATTCATCGCTCGAGCCCTGGCTTTGCTGATATTTTTCATTTCTGCTATCACGGGCGAGGCTGTTCGCGGCGATAAGGAACCTCTGCCCACTCTCAAGCGGCAGAGTGAGGCGAAGTCGTCGGCTGCAAAAGCCAAGGCGGCTAAGGTTTCGGAATCAACATCTTCTGAAGCAAGGCCTCCATCGCTGAGGAAAAAAGTTGGCGAGACCTTCCTACATAATAAGCTGTCTGCAAAAGATATTTTTGAGATATCCCAATCTGCTGCGGCAGAAGCAGGCAGTTCCAGCTCTGTGAATAATTTTGCAGCGGCAGGTGCCGGAGGCCGGCAACCTGGAAATTTTGCGAGGGATTTGCTCAGGAGCCTTTGCAGGGGAGCTCCTTTGGAACTTTTCTGGTATGACATTCCTTTTTGGGATCCTGCAAGTGACTCAGAGATTGTACAACCTCATCCATTTTTGCTTCCTCACGAAGTAATACATCATCTGGTTCATCAACAAGGTTTGAAGTCTTTCCTCGTTAAAGCAGCCCAGCCTGCTGCGAGAGCCCAGCTTATCAAACAGTGCGACAAATTTGGTTTGGACCCAGATGAGACCATCAGCATTGGGATGCATGGTGATGGAGTACCTTACACGAAAAAGGAGTCCCTGGAGATTCTCAGCTTCAACTTTTTGGCGAATCCTACTGGGGATAGAGTTCCGATCACCGCCGTTTCCAAGAAGTGGGCTACCCAGAAGACTTGGGAGTGCTTGCTGAACGTGATTACCTGGAGTTTGCGGATGCTGTTCCTGAAACAGGTCTCCAAGGTTTTGCCCGATGGCAAGCCGTGGAAACATCGGCGAAAGGTGACTGGGCAGTTGCCCGGCTGCCTCTTGCTGCAGTGTAGGGGGGACTGGCCGTTTTTGCGATCCCTGTTTTATTTTCCTGCGTGGAATTCTCAACAAATCTGCTGGAAATGCTCTGCAAGCCAAGAAGGGCCTCACAGCTATAAAAACACAGGTGCAGATGCTTTGTGGCGGAAGCACAGGGTAAGCGACCATGAATTTTTGAGATCTTTGCGGGAACAAAACGTTTTCGTTTGCCCGCTGTTGAGTTTACCAGGGTTCGAGGTCTCTTGCATATTATTAGATTGGCTCCACGTGGTGGACTTGGGCTGTGGAGCGGATGCTATCGGGAACTTTTTTTGGCATTTGATTGCAGAGCCAGGTTTTTATCCAGGAACTTCCAGGGAGGCTCGATTGAAACAACTTTGGGCTCGCTTGAGGACGTGGTATCAAAGGCGCAAGCCTGCGTCTGTCCTGGACAATCTGACTGTGGAAATGGTGCGAAGATCCAAAGCGACTAGCAAGCCGAAGTTGAAAGCTAAGGGTGCCGAATGTCGCTATCTAGTCCCGTTCTGTCATGAATTGGCAACCGAGATAGCAGAGGGCAATCCGGAGGACCACGTCATGCAAACAATTGCAGGCCTTTTTAGTCATTTGTTTGCTTTGCAGCAATGGGTTGCAGGGAGCCTGGGAGCCTACGACTTCAACAAGGCATCTGAGGAGCGCAGACGTTTTTGTGTCTGATATGGGAGCTTGCAGTCCCAGGCGACGTTTCCACTGTGGCATTTCAAGCCCAAGATGCATCTGTTGCAAGAGATGGTCGAGTATCAGAGCGAGGAGCACGGGAATCCCCGAGAGTTCTGGTGCTACCGGGATGAGTCCTGGTGCGGCTTTTGGGCGAAAGCCAGCAAAAGGCGTGGTGGCCACAACACCCCTGCTACTACTGCTCGTACTTTTTTGTTGCGGTACTTAGCCTTGGAGAAGCTTGCCGCAGAAGACTGAAAACTTCGCCCGCCTTGAGGAGCAATCGTGCTGCCTCTGCTCCTGTTCATGCTGAGGGTCGCACTATATTATAATCAAATAATATATATATATATATATATATATGCTATATATATATATATGCTATATATATATATACATATATATATATATATATATATATTGCACATAATGGCCCCCTTAATTTTTCTACTATTTCAATTTGAACTTTCTGTTGCCTTATAAGGCAACAGAAAGTTCAAATTAAAATAGTAGAATAAGTGCCTTCAGCACCTTCTCAGAATCGATTTGCAGCCAGGTGTGTCAGGAGCAGTTTGCTCCTGCAGCAGTGCATGTCTAGGATCGATGGATCATGCCGTTTTTTATTTGCCGCAGCCGTATATCTCCAAATGCCATCCTTCCGCAGCCATGGCTAAAGTGGTGCTGCTGTCTAAGCTGGACCCCAAGGGCAACAAGGGTGCATGGCTTAGGCTGAAGGAGGACGAACTGGCGAGAACCAGAGAAGAACTCTTGTACCACTTCGGCTGCTCTGTGCTGGACGGTGTGCACGAGACCGGTAGCAGCTTCCACAAGTACGAGGAAGTTTGGTTTGTTGTGGAGAAACCGTTAGTCGACCACGGCTTGGACAACAGTGCGGTAGCACTACAGGTCTGGGATGTACAGATGCAAAAGCATGTCAGTTTCGCTTTCAAGTATGAGAGCTCCGTCGACCTTCATAGCTTGGACTAAAAATGTGCCTTGCTGTGCATGTTGCAGTCTTTGCATGTCTATTCGGTGTATATAAGTTTATAATTCCATTTTTTTGATGCACGTATTGCATGAAATCTTATGGTATATATATATATATAGACACACAAATCATATATATATATATATATATATATATATATTTGTTCTATATATATATATATATAACATACATCATATACTGCATGCATATCTATGATTATATACATGTATGTACATGTGCATACACATATATATTAAACATATATGTATATATGCACACACACATGCATATATATATACACATTCATGCACATTTTTTACATATATATACACATACACACATACACAAACCCACATATATATATATATATACATATACATATACATACATGCATACATACCGGCATATGTATCCACATACAAATAAAACTATATATATATATATATATATATATATATATATATTTGATAGATAGATAGATAGATAGATAGACCCCCGCTGGTAAGTACATTCTTTCGTGGAAATTACTTTCCGGCCGGTTTTTGTCTTCTTTCTTTGGGTCCTATCAGAGGCTGATAGAAGCGCCCCCCCCTAATGTGGTACATCCTGTCAGCGCCCCCCTATCAGCGCCTGATAGGATCCATCAGACACTTACAGGCAGCGCCGGATGCTCTGGGTGTACGTACAATTTGATGGGGGATGCAAGCGGCACTTAACTGCAGGGGGAGCGGGTGTTGCGGTATGGCATCAGTTTGTCACGGGCACGGCGGATATCACTTTCTCTTTGCCACTACCGGATTGCTCGGATGCTTATGAGGCTGAGGCGGAGGCGGCAATACTAGCCGCGGTCCGATCGCTAGAGTACGCGATCACCCTTTGGGGGCGAGGGGTCTCGATTCGAGTTGTCCATATACAGGGGGACAATCTCGCAATCGTAGCCTACTTAGCTGGCTTCGGACGGCTTCGAAGGGTCAGCCTCGTGAGGCGCTTCCAAAGTGCATGGGATACCCTGGCTAGATCGCACATCCGAGTTGAGTGGGAGCAAGTCCCACGCAGCGCTAACACGGTAGCGGACTCACTCGCGGGAGAGGCGCTCGAGGCTGCCATCCTGTTGCAATCCCAGTCTCTCGTCCAAACTAGCCTCTATGTCAGCATTTTTGATGCCCCGCCCTCTGTTGCCCCGCCGACGGTAGGATTGTCCGGGGCGGTTTTAGCGGCCTTGCAGCCCAGCGCGCGCCATTGGACGGGGATACAGCTGTCCGCAACGTTACAGCAGCTGCGGGAGAGTGGTGAAGTAGTCACTCTGCCGGAGCCAGAGCCCCTGCACTTCCCTTATGTCGGTCGAGCCCTTGCCGTGCTCGGGCCTCACCATCTGCGTGGAATACGGGCCCTCCGTGACTTCTGGCAGGCTGTCCCCTTGAGGGCAATTGTTGCCAATGACTACCACCGCAGCTCGTCAGTCGCGCAGGGTCGCTACTACTGCCAAGTTGGCATCTCGCACCTTACTAGCCCATGCGCCTCCTCGCGTTAGGCCCTCAGGCCACTGAAATCGACCTCGTCGGCGCACATTATGAAGCATTATACGGGCTTTAACCATTTCCATAGGGCAGGCCGACATGCTCCCGCCGGTGCAACAGGCTAGTCACTAGAGAGATCTTGAATCGTGGCTGTCCGTCTCAAGGCCAAGCCTGGGCCACTTTGTCGCCCAAGCGGCTCCTTAATTACACTATCAATAGCTCTGCCGCCAATGCCATGGGGCAGTTGCATCAGGGCGGTCTCTCCTTTGCCTCGGCTGCGGCGAAGCGCGTATACTGTACGCCGTACGCCATTGACGCTGCAAAGGACCACCTTGCTGCCAATATGCATCGGCTGCAATGGTATCGGCGAGACCAGCGATCCACGCCACGCAACTGGGTTTACTTCGTACTCGAGGCCGTTGAAGGCCGTTTAGCTCGGGCATTGCTTGGCGCCTTACTGCCCGACGTTGCTCACGGTGTTGTTTGGCTCCACGACGGTGTGTACGTTCGCACAGCGGGCAGTGCACTCTGTGTACCGGTGCTACAACAGGCTGTCGCAGCCGAACTCTGCCAACTCCTCACTGAGGCGACTGGCGGCGTTATGCGGCATTTGCCCAACCCGGAAGAACTCGTTCGCATCTCCGATCTCGCCAGGCCTCACCAGGAGCTAGTGGCACATCTCGCCCTTGATCGCTGCCCACACCGTCCCACAGCCCGCGCACCAGGCCGACCCGCTGTATGCCGCCGTGGAGCCGGCCCTTTGCCGGCCCTTGGGCCCTTGAGAACGCCGCTCGCCGTGCGCACCTCAAACGCACGATTGCAAAGGAACATGGGGCAGCCAAACGCCATTGCATCGGGCTGCACGCCTTCTTTCGCCGCGCGACTAGCCCGTGAGCGCTAGCACATCTGTGTCGGTGTTCGGATATTCACGGGAGGCTGGCTGCCCCCCTTGACATAGACGCGCGGCTGCAGGATGCGTGCTTTTGCTCTTTTTAGGGAATTGTAGGTTCGTTTCATTTCGAGCAGCGGGGACTTATACTCGCTTTCTCTTTTTGGGCCTGCGCTAGGGCTGATTCGTCTATGTCGGCCTAGGGAAGTTGCCTGGTGTGTTTTTTTTGTCCTTACTTAAGCACTTGGGTCCTTTGGATTCATTGTTGTTTCTGCTGCCATGGGCTCGATAGGCTTTTTAGCCACGGTGAGTAATACTAACTCTCCTTTTTTCCGCTCTGGGACCGACGGGGGGGTAGCGGCGCTATGGCTCAACCCGAACTTGCTCGAGTCCGTGTGGGCAGTAGCCCCACTGAGATGTGCGACGAATTGCTCTTAGGCTTGGACAATTGGTTCTGGGCCACGCCAGTCCTGGCGTATGCCTCGCCACCTATATTGCCATCTCCGCGGATGAAGTGTTACGCGAGGTTGGCGTGGCCTTGGGCACAGCCTCGGTGTTCTTGGAGCTCAGAGATTCGGCCAGGCAGGTGATGGATGCGGTCTTCTGCCCCAGCATCATTGCGGGGCACCGCGTCATGCCGAACCTGTCACCGCTGCGATGGGTCATTACTGTGGATCTCTATCTCGATCGGTGCGATGAACAGATGGCACTGGAGGTATTCATGCATCCGAATATCCCTCCGTTGGAGGATGAAATATGGGATGACACGCTCCGGTGTGTACTCGAGGACCATTTTGCGGTTCTCCCCGCCCTGGTCCGTCGTGGCCGTCTATCGGTGCATCGCTTTCTGCCGAGTCACGATGATCCGTTGTATCGGGCACCAATGGTGGCGCATGCCATCGATCTACCTTCGGGTTGTCTAGCGGCATTGCTTGTCCTCCGGGCCAGCGTGAACACTCCTGACATGCGGGGGCATACGCCCCTTGCATATTCGGTGCTTGCAAACGCATACACTTGTACCGCTCTTCTCCTGCAGGCGAGAGCGGCGCTGGATCCCCCAACGGGTTACAGCCACTTGCTGCTGGCTGTCGCCCGGGGCCAAAGGATCATGGTGAATGTCCTGCTTAATGCGCGAGCGTGCCCCCACTCAGTGGCACGTCACGGCAGCTTGACCGGGCTTTCGCCCTATGACCTGGCTTGTCAGTGGGTGGATGAGGAAGCCCTGCGGGCCTTCCGCCTCTATGGTTATGAGGTCCCTCGAGCGGCAGGCATATACCCACCGCTACTCACGGTGCTTTGCTATCAGTGGCCGCGCAATTGGTCGCAGCGGGGCTGGGGAGGACCATGCTAGCCTCATCTTGCATGGCCTGCAATGGCCCATGGCCGGCTTGGTAGTCCACGAAGCAGATGATGAGGTCTCCATCATGTACAGGTTCGCCAGACCGTCGCAGCCCCTACCCCTTCGGCGCTCTCTGGCAAGTGGCAGCCTCGCCACGGCCCTGCGCACCCTGGAGCTACACCCCTGCCTGTTGGAGCTGCATGAACCCGCGGTCTGGGGAGATTTTGGCCTTCCCATATTTTACACTATCAATCGTCAACTAGGCAGGGCCCTGGCAACCTTGCTAGCGCAAGCATCGCCTACTTGGAGGCCCTATTGTTTTAGTAATCACTTGGCCCATATCGTCGACTTGGCTATATTGGTTAACATGAGATAGCAAGTCCTGTAACCCCACTTATTAAGTGAGACAAGTCGATGCACAACTGTGGCAAGTAACATGCATGACACAGCAATTGAATAGTAAAGGATTAATAAGTGTCGTAAGTGGATAGCAGACTTAGCAAACAAAAAGGAAGTAAGTCCGCAGACATATGTAAGTGACATATGCTAAGTGTATCATGTGTGTTAGTAAACGAATGTTAAGTGATATCGCCGGCATAGGGTATGTCGGGCAAGTCGACTTATCTAAGTGAGCTAGCCAGCGGATTTTTCCAGCCCTATGTCGACATAGCCGGTGACTTGGCTAAGTCGACTATGTCGACTTAGCGGGACCGTAGTTTTGATGCAGGCATGGGTATAGATATGGCACAGGAGGGCCCGGAATTGCAAAGGAAGTTCGGTACGTATGCAGAAACAAAGAGAAGCGTGTGGGCAAAAAAGAAAGCAGAACAAGAACTGCACATTTGGAATTCCAAGCACTGGCATAGGGCAAATGCTCGCGGTAGAATTTTTTTTGTAGGTTTACATGATTTACATGGTTGGTCGAAATCTGTTTGTTCTGCTGTTCTGCTTTTTTGGTCGCAACACTCTACGTCACAAACAATATACAAAAGAGAGACTACGAACATACTGCGTCAGTACAAGCTTGAGAAATCCCAAGCATGTGTTTTCGGAAGAATATCTTCTCCCGATGTACATTTTTGCGATCGAATCAAAGCAAGTTTTGCCGCTCGATTAGAATGGTTTTCCATGTCGTGGAAAAGTTTGCATGTTTCCGAAATGTTTGCTTCGCATGAAAGCATGCATGTATGCGTGCTTTTACATGTTGTGCATGCATGTTTGTATGCACATATATGTATGCATGTAACTAAGTAG